GGGGTTGGGGGTGGGGTTGCCCAAACCCCAAACCCCAAACCCTAAACCCTAAACCCCAAACCCCAAACCCTAAACCCCAAACCCCAAACCCTAAACCCTAAACCCTAAACCCTAAACCCTCGCGGGACCTTTTTGTGGAGGTAGACGGAGCTGAAGAGGGAGTATCTCGCGAAGAAAACTCCAAAGACGGAGTGGAGTTCGCTGCTGCTGTAGCAAATTTCTCCCGAAATAACTTTGGAGTGCAGCAGCAAACGCAAAGGAGAAAACCCTAACAGAAACCCTAAAAAGGGGACTGCAGCAGAGTCCCGCACCAGGTAGTCCAGCCGGTCCACGTCCAGCCCCGTCCGCTGGTTCGCTGCGCGCAAACCCTAAACCCTAAACCCTAAACCCTAAACCCTAAACCCTAAGCCCTGGAGCGTAAACGCCAAACCCTCACTCCTCGAACTTGAGACGTGAGGCCTCGACGCGAAACCCTGGCCCCTAAATGCTAAACCCCGAGTCCCGAAACACAAACCCTAAACCCTAAACCCTAAACCCTAAACCCTAAACCCTAAACCCTCATTGAAAAGCCCTGCAAAGCCCCCGCAGCATGGAGCCCAAGCAGGCGCTTGGCCCAAACCCCAGCCCTCCCGTCGCACCAGGGCGAGCGCGGCCCCCGAGGGTTTAGGGTTTAGGGTTTAGGGTTTAGGGTTTAGGGTTTGCGGACCGACGATGTCGAAGGCGGCCCTGGTGAGCTCGTCCACAGGGGGGCCCCCCAACAACCCCCTGTACCCTTTGGGGGCCCCCTCAATGAGTTGTTGAATTAAATTCAAATCTTCCAATTCTATTTCTTGGCACTTTCCCTTTTCCAAAATGCTTTCCAACATTTCTTCCACCATGGCTTTGCTCATATCTTCATGTCTCCACCTGGGGGCCACATGGTCTGCGGGGGCGGGGGGCCCCCCACGTGCCCCCGCAGCACATTAATGAAGTCCGACTCGAAAGAATGGCTGAAGGGCCCATGGCCCAAGTCGTGGGAAAGGCCGGCTATTTCAATGCACTGCTGCAGCCGCCGCATTTCCTGGCAGCAGCTGGGGGCCCCCAGGGGGCCCCCCAGGGGGGGCCCCATAAAGGGGGCCCCCAGGGCGGGGGGGCCCCCGGGGGCCCCCGAGGGGCCTCCGGAGGGCACAGGCCGTCTGCGTCTTCTGCAAATGGAGATAATCCGAAATACTTTTTTTCCAAAATGGAAAAGTAGCGGCGAGCCAAAGAGCCAACTCCTGAATTAAATTAAATTAATTAAATTAAATTAATTAAATTAAATTAATTAAATTAATTAAATTAAATCAAATTAAATTATTTAATTTAATTTAATTTATTTAATTGGTGGTTTTTTGCTAAGTGGGTGGTCTGTTGGGTTGGCTTTTCATGAGTTATTCATGAGCAATGCGGGTAGAGCTCACCGCCGCCTAACCCCAAACCCTAAACCCTAAACCCTAAACCCTAAACCCTAAACCCTAAACCCTAAACCCTAAACCCTAAACCCTAAACCCCAAAC